ATACATACACACATACACATACACATACACACACACACCCACACCCACACCCACACACACCCACACACACACACACACACACACACATACACACATATTCCCATTCACACACGGATAATTAAAAATATGCAAATAATGTCCATTTACTGCTAACGTGTATCTCCTTCAGATCACCTCCTCGCAGGGACATCTCTAAGGAGAGGAACGAAGGAAGGGGGAAAAGAGGGGAGAAGAGGGGAGATGGGGAAGAGGAAGTGAAGAGGGGAAATGGAAAGTGGAGAAGAGGGGAGAGGAGAGAAGGCGGGGAGGGGGGAAAAGGAGGAAGAAAGAAGGAGTAGGGAAGAGAAGGAGTGGGGTGGAGGTGGGGAAAAGGATAAAGAAAGAGGGTGTAAGGAAGAAGAGGAGAGAAGGGGAGAGGAGAGGGGGAGCTAGGGTGGGGTGGAGTTTACGTGGAGCACCTCATTTCCTTCATAACGTATGATGGAACCAGCCCTCAAGGCCGCTGGAAGAAGAAGGGGGGGAGGGGGGTATTTTGTGTTCTTTGGTTGTCTACTTTTACTGCATATATGAATGTGTTTATATATATATATATATATATATATATATATATATATATATATATATATATATATATATATATATATATATATATATATATATATATGTGTGTGTGTGTGTGTGTGTGTGGGTGTGTGTGTGTGTGTGTGTGTGTGTGTGTGTGTGTGTGTGTGTGTGTGTGTGTGTGTGTGTGTGTGTGTATATACATATATATAAACACACGTATGTATGAATGTATGTGTATGTGTATGTAAATATATATGAATATAGATATATATATATATATATATATATATATATATATATATATATATATATATATATATATATATATATATATATACATATATATATATATATATATATATATATATATATATATATATATATATATATATATATATATATATATATATATATATATATATATATATATATACACGTATGTATGTATGTATGTGTGTCAATGTGTATGTGTCTGTGTATGCAAATGTATATATATATATATGTATATACATATATATATATGTATATATATATATATATATATATATATATATATATATATATATATATATATATATATATATATATATGTATGTATATATATGTATGTATGTATGTTTGTATGTATGTATGCATGTATATATGTGTGTGTGTTATAGATTAATATTATTTTGGCGTTTTCAATTCCCCGATTTTCTCCCTATATTTTGGCTTCGTCCTCGTCTTCGGCTCTGCAGCCCTCAACGCCGCTCGTGGCGTGTGTCATGACATGCAGAAAAGACGCTGAGATCCCGGTGGAAACCTGGGCATGTTCTTGCTATGTCTCCCGCGTGTAGCATTTGCGTTGCACTCGTAGCAGAGCGTAAGCCTCCTTCCCGCCCAGGGCTACTACCGAAATGGCCGTTCTCCTTTGGCTGAATATTAGCTTCCTCAGCAAATTATTTCCACAATTCCACATAACATTCCCTACCACGTCAAATATTTTTCGCCAGCCCTACCGTTACGTCGGCTCGGTTAGTAATTCTACAGCTTTTGGAATTGTTATGGCCGCCCCTGGAACTGCTGGCCCGTGCCGCCCTACTCCCCCCCGGCCCCCTACGCCCCCTCCCCCCATTGGCACCGCGCCAGCCTCAGTACTTCAGGTTTTGCGCGCCTTGTCCGACGGTAGGCCGGGCCGGGGCCCGAGTCTGGCCGCCCCCCTTCGCCCCCGTCGCTCCCTCGCCCCCTCCCTCCGTTCCTCCCTCTCTTGCTCCCTCCCTCCCTCCCTCCGTTCCTCCCTTCCTCCCTCTCGCTCTCCCCGCCTCGCGATGCGCCCTCCTCTGCCTTTTCCTCCTGCAAGCTCCCTCCTCGGCGGCGTCGACGTGGCGTATTCCCCACCTTGCGCCCGCCGCCCCCCGAGCCCCAGCACGCCCTTTCTGCGCTCGTCTTACTCCCCGCTCGCCCACCTCCTTGCCCTTATTTCTGAGACGCGCACGCCCCTGCGCCGCCTCCGCTCTTTACATCCTGCCAATTGCCGTGCGCCAACGCCCGCCACTTCGCATTGCGCAAGGTTCGGAGTCGAATGCGAGGGGCGGCTCGTGCCTCACAGCGTATGCGAAACTACCGTATGTATTTCCCAACGTAGAAAACGAGGTCTAGGCCTAACGCTGGCGTCACGCAACCCCTCATTGCACGGCGGAACCCTTCTTCCACCCTTCCCCTTCCCCTCTTCCCCCCTCTTCATGCGCCGGCTGTGCACCTCGCACAGTGAACGCACACACACACGCACACACACCTTCCCGTATCCGTACGTCATCCGGACTTTCGGCCGTAAAATCGCGTTGCTGATGAAGCCATCGAATGTGACAGAGATAAAAAATAGGCTGGAAGGGAAGGGGAGCAGGGGGAGGGAGCTGGGCCGATTTTTTCGATAACGCCATTAAGAATGAGACGGGAATTAGCCGTCACGGAGCATAAACGGAGCGGCGTGGAGTCTCCTCGGCCGCGCCCGTAGCTCACAGGCGAGCGTGCTGAGCGAGCGAAATCCCAAGATCGTAATACGCTCGTAAAGGACACCGACCTACCACGTAGAGAACGGCAGTCGCGTAACTTACTATCTATTTTCTCCCTTTTCCTTATATTTTTTGCGCCATCGCGACAGCTCAGCACCCCCATTCCCTCCCCATTCCCATCCCCCCCTCTATTCTCCATCCTTTTCTTTTTTCAAACTCCTCCCCTACCCCCCCCCTCCTTCTCAACTCTCTCTCTCTCCCCTCCCCATCCCCTCCTCTCCCCCCCCCCTTCCCTTCCCTTCAACCTTCTTTACCTCGGTTTTATCATCTGACTCTGCCAAGACCTGCGTAAAATGTCTTGCGTGGGATGACGCGGCGAAAAGGGAGGGAAGCAGAGTGGGGAGAGGAATGGGGGTGCGGCGGGGGAGGCGTTCACGAGTAATGTGTAGCGAAAGACCTACTTGGCCTCGAGGCGGTACTCGTAGGCACATGCACACACTCGGACACATACGATAAATACATATACACCCACCCACACACACACACACACACACACACACACACACACACACACACACACACACACACACACACACACACAAGAACGCACAGACACGCGCGCATATACATCCACGCGTGCGTAGTACATCAGAAAGATAAAAAAAAAAGCTCAGAAAAGAAGGGTCCTTTAGTAAGGTCAAAGTACCAGAATGTTGCTGGGATCTCCCCTCACACCATTCCATACCGGAAGCGACCATTAACTCAGCTTTCGATAAAAATGAGTGCAGTTGATGGCCAAATGTGTTCGTCCATAAATACATGTATTTGGGAAGGCTTGTACGTGTAGGCAAGGTTCTTTATATGTGTAGGTATAGGATTGCATGTATGTCTGATTTTGCTATAAGTTCTAGGGAGTCTACATCGGTCGTCGATTCCATGTAAAACTGGTCATTATGTGCACGTGACTCACAGGGTCTGCTAGCGCGCACTCTCCCTGAGGCAAATACACCCGTAGACATAGATTACAAGCATTATACACACATATTTATGTGTGTGTGTGTGCGCGTGTGTGGATGTATATATATATATATATATATATATATATATATATATATATATATATATATATATATATATATATATATATGTGTGTGTGTGTGTGTGTGTGTGTGTGTGTGTGTGTGTGTGTGTGTGTGTGTGTGTGTGTGTGTGTGTGTGTGTGTGTTTATATATATATATATATATATATATATATATATATATATATATATATATATATATATATATATATATATATATATATACATATATACATATATATATATATATATATATATATATATATATATATATATATATAGATAGATAGATAGATAGATAGATAGATAGATAGATAGATAGATAGATAGATAGATAGATAGATACTTATATGACTGTATGTGTGTGTGTGAGTGTGTGTGCCTACTCTTTTTATGTATATACATTTATATATCCATAAATATGTGTGTGTGTGTGTGTGTGTGTGTGTGTGTGTGTGTGTGTGTGTGTGTGTGTGTGTGTGTGTGTGTGTGTGTGTGTGTGTGTGTGTGTGTGTGTGTGTGTGTCTGTCTGTCTGTCTTCTGTATGTACAGTATGTATGCACTATCAATGTACCTACGCCCTGCATAGGTGAAGAGGCAGTTGACAGATGCATGAATATTATATCAGCCCTAAGTTGAAACCTCCCTCACATCACAGAGGCCTTTCAAACAACATTACACCTCTTTCCCCTTGCCCTCCCTCCCCTTGCACCCTTCCCCCTGACTCCCTCTCCTCCCTCGTCCTCCCTCCCCTCCCCCAGCCTCCTTACGCCCCAGGGGAGGAAGAAGGGCACGACAAATGCCCCGCCCTCGGCCAGAACACGCCCCGGTGCAGAAGGCCTACACAGAGCAACGTGGCGACGAGGGGACGAACGGGCGATATAAGGAGATAGGCTCGACAGAAGATAAGGGGACGAGGGGAATCGCCCCTAGGATGGAAGGGAAACTGAGGAGGGGGGGGAGAGGCAGAGGCTACGGGATGGGGAGGGTGCGGGGAGGGAGAGCGATGGGAAGGGAGGCGAGGGGAGGGGGGAATGCACCAACACTGGCAGGCTCGTCAAAGGGGCCACGGGCTCATTGCTGATTGACGTACAAAGGGGAAACCGGCGGGCAAGGGAAGGGGGGGTGGAGAGGGGGGAGGGGGAAGGGGTAGGGGTGGGGGTCTAGCTGGCCCGGCTGCCGAGAGTACGAGGACATTCATTTTGCCGTCTTTAATTTCGATTTATTGAATTTGCAAATTTCTTTTTCGGTCTCTTGGGCACGCTGGCCTCGCGCTGCGTGTGGCGACGGCTGTTGTTTATAGCGTGAGGCTATTTTTAAAAGTGATAATTGAATTTAATTACAGTCTAGCACAGCCGCTCGGCACATGAAGTATCGATTGGTGATTGCACGACGCTCCTCTACCGTCGGGAACCTCCAGGCCTCGTCTTCCTTCTGCCCTCCACGCCCCTGCGTCTCCGCCTTCTCCTGCTCCTTATTCTTATTCTCCTTCGTTTTGCCATTCGCCTCCTTTCTTGGTATTCGTTTGCTTCGTTCGGTTTCGGCGTTTATTAAGTTTATTTGGGTGTGTTTGTTGTTGATTTCGGACCGTTTGCGATAGGGAATTATTTTATTTTTCTTTGATTCTTAAGTAATTGATTTCCCTTACCTAATGATTTGCGCGACTTGCCTTTCCCTAGTCAGCAGTGTTCAACATCTTCCCTCAGCCTCCTAAACGTTCACAGACCGTCTTGAACTTTCCAGCCCTCTCGCCGTGTCTTCTATTGTCCAACCAGCCTCCCCCCCTCCCCTCCCGCCGTCTGCCCTCCCCTCCCTTCCCCTCCCTTTACCCCTTCTGCCCTCAGGCCTACCGCAT